AGACTTTTTTAGTTCTTGGATCAACAATGTTGCCTTTACAAATATTACAGTAGCAAGGTTCAGGAAGACGATTTCTTGTGTTTTTAGGTTTGGTGACTTTTTCAATTGTTTTTTTAACTATTCAACTCTTTTTCCTATAAACTATTATAATGATAAAGACCAAAAAAATATTAAGCGGAATATATGAGCAAGTGATATAGATAAAAGATATATAAATAAAATATATGAGTGGGAGAAAAAGATATAAGAGAATTTATTTGTGAACGAATTAGAGCAATATAGATATAGCAATAGAATTAAAATATAGTTCAATTAATAGAAAGAAAGCTTCATTTATATATAATCTGAATCCTCAAGAAATTCAAAATACCAATATGCCTTATGGGCTTTTCTAACTATTACCAAATAAACTTTATATTTTTGTTTTGATAATTAAACTCTCTTTTTGATAATTATACCCTTTGTTTATATCATCGATATTAAAATTTCTGCTAATAGATATTTTAGTGATTCAAATTAATAATAAAGTTATAAACTGCATAATGAAAATATTATTAGAATTCTATTTTGCTAGTTTTATCAGTAAAAATTAAACTTGTTTTGACTTTTTTAATGATTCGAATTAGCTATAGAGCTATCAGTATACCAATTACAGTATATACTTGCTGGCTAAATCAAAAAAATAATTTTAATATTTTGTAAATCTATTATATATAGCTATAAGAATATAAAACATTTGTTTAAATAAAGTTTTTGAGATAATTGTTTGGGCTTGAGTTTGGGATTTGGGTGCAGACAAACCCAAACTATAATTGTTTGGGAGTTGGGCGGCAAGTATAAATTACAGCAGAGACCATTAATGTTCAAACTGGTGAGAGATTATATTCATCACAATTGAATTCAACATAAATAATTTAATTTGTGATTGATCACAAGTGAGAGGAATTCACTTTGGATCGAGTACTGTCTCTGCTGTTTATACTAAAGATGCTTGACAAAATTTACGAAATTCATATTATCTGATGAAATACTATAGTTTCATCATTTCGTTAATAACAAAATATAGACAAAACTTATAATTTCGTTAGTCAAAATAATTTCGTTAGGCATCTATAGTTTATACTAATAAGTTTTTATTTGTTTAATGCAAATATTTGTAAATTGAATAATATGAATTTTATTTCTAAATTGCTATAGAGTACATAATTCTTTATATATTTTTATCTGACTGTAAATTTTATTCTGATATTAAATTAACAATTTTAAAGTACGTCATATGCAATCAAAGATAAATTCATTAGACTTTCAAAAATACGATCTGACTATAAAAATTATAAATAGGTCATATTTCTTCTTATCATACATTTGCATATTTGACTCTTTCGCATCATTCTTTCTTTTAGTGACATTTATTTTACTCTTTCGCTTTACTTGTAAAATCTTTCTGTCATAACATTTTTATATACTAATATATTAAATGAAAGCCTGATTATTAATAGATAATTAATATAAAATAAATTGCTTTTTCTTGTCTCTTCTTTTTTTAATTTAAATACCAAATACCCGATAACCCAATTTATTTTTTATAATCTCTTTTCTATTTTCCCTCAACTAAATACCAAATACATGATAACCTGATTAATTTTCTTTTTTGTTTTTGGATACTTATGATTACTTTTCTCTCCAAATACTTATACCTAAATTTTCTTTGTTTTTTTGAAAACTTTTTTGAAAAAATGCGTGGTAGAAGCCCTTACCAAATTAATATCATTTCAAGTCGATATATAATTTCACTATCTATGTCATATCGAAGTATACCATTATGATCATCAACACCTTATTGACAAAATTGTCTGTCTTACCAATGCAGACGATCAGTAATACGATTTCGCCGAAACAACTATCGATCAGAAACCCTACCTTGCTGAAGCAACCGCCGATTAGAAACTCCACCACGTCATTCACAAGCTTCATGTCAAAATATTAATAGTAGACACTGAAATAATGAAAGTCGCAGTCAAAGATCACCTTCTCAAACTAACAAATATTCTCGCAGTTGATCAAGAAGCCTGATACAAAAAGCAAAAGTAACTATATATAATTATGATTAAACTATTGACTTACTGATATGTCTAACAAATATTTAATATGTTAATAAAAATCTCTTTCTTAGAAAATACTATACAAAGTTTAACTAACAAAGTTAATAAATTAAAATCTGATAAATCAAATGCATTAAATGATCTACTGACACATACTGACAATTTGATATTAGTGCATTGAGGACAACTGGGTTGTCATGCCCAATGAATAATATGGATCTTTGTGATTATGATAATATTGATGCTAATAATCTTACTGAAACTAGTAAAACTATTAGAGCTTCTCAAGATAATTTAAAAACTATCACCATTATATCCACCAGCTCTAGTAAGAAAATAGGTAAAAAAAAAGAAAGCTTTTATAATGTTCTTGCAAATAATCGAAGGTTTTCCGTCACTCTGAAATCTTCTACTGAATATAATAGAAGATCACGTAAATGTCTAGAAGATATGACATACAAGCAATATAAGCTCTTCCATATATGTGAATAATATTATTACCATTATTATTTTACAATACTAATATTATTGTTATTAATAATTTAAATATCTTTATTATTTTAAATTTATTGAGATTTTGTATTAAAATACTATCATTTCGTTATTATTTTAAGTAGACTAGATAATACTCTACAGCTCAATTAAAACAAAAGATAGTTGAAAATTTCCTGTCATGTGTTTAAAAAAACTATGTCAGCGATTGGCATGATTTTGAAAGATCATTTTAAATACAAACTTACTAAACTTAAATATATTCTCTAACAACTTCACCATCACCGATACGAAAAATGTCAAATAGACAGAATCTGGAAAAATTAAAAGCTAATAAAAAAAGAATAGGAGTAAATAGTAAATAATCTGATGTAGGTGTTAAGGTTGTTAAATTATTTTTATAGAAATATCAGGTTGCCAATGTTAATTATAATTAAATTTTATTATTATAGAAAAAAAAGGCAAATTTAGGGTATTAATCATATGATTAATACAAATGATAGTAATCTTAGAGAACTTGCAGATTTTATGGATTTTAACGATTTTAAAGCCAATCTTGAGGATATAATTAACAAAGGAGATTTTCATTCTAACAAACTTTCTGAAACAGACATAGAGCAAATATTGTCAGAAAAATGGTTAAAAATACATCCCAAGGACAAGACTGATAATCATGTAATTCATATCTATGATAAGCTATAAAGATTGTGTAGAGTAAGTAAATATTTTGTCATTAAACTTTTTATTATTATTTTTTTTTTTAATCTCTTAGATAAATTATAATTTTTGTTATACTTTTTAGATTTATTTTATTAATTTCTTTTTTTATTCTATTGATAATAGGT